TTATAATATAAGTATGCTTGGATTCATGAGTAAGATAAGCATGTCCCCTATAATAATTGAATCTGTGACGGTGGGTGGAATGCATTCCTCTCGCACTAGAGACCCGATTGAGGCCAAAACGCTATTGACAGTCTCGCCTAACGAGCCCGTGTACAACTCAGAAAGTTCAATGAAAAACACTAAACGAAACTAAGTACACAATCCATAATTTTTTCGACAAATTATTTCACAACTGCACCTTATTATTATTTTTGGATACATGGCCTAATCAACTCGGGGTACTCCCAAAGTCAATTCTCTCAAGTAACATCAAATTTATCAATAAATACCCCACGAAACAAATCAGCTTCCCAAAGCTACCCTACTCGCACCAAGCATTTATGTTGCAAATAAACCAAAACCTCTTCCTTGAATCCCAAACCATCCCATTGTAACCATAATTTATTTGTTAGCTATTTTTTGTAGTTTTACTTGTAGGTGTGCATGGATCTTTGAACCTGTACTGTATTATAATAATGTCTGTCGTCGGTATCCTGGGAGGGACCGCTTGCATTCATTTCGCACCCGTATAAAGAATCACTCGGAACAACTCTATATATACAGAGTATACGCCAACAAAAACTTTACCCTTCCCAAGGCAATAATTGAGACGAATGTGATATATTTTACCCTTCCCAAGCCAGTAATTGGAATCGTGGTAAAAACAGATGAATTTTCCTTCATTGACGTCTTTTTCTTATGTTGAAAGTGAAGAATTGAGGACACAAGTTATATAACAAAACAAAGTTAGGTCCTCGGTCTATATCGTTTTGACAAAGCGCTATTAAGCATCTAGACTATACAATTTATGGACTTCACAAAAAGGTCCATACATTCTATCTTTCTCTACAATGTCGCAGTCATCATTTTGTATACATTACAACCACGATTTTCTTTTGTTGTTTATATATCTCCTGCGTTTCTTATTTGCTTTGATTAAACAATTATTTTTGTTTGTCATTTTGTGGCCACCCTTGAGTTAGACACTGCACGTACTCTGCTACCTTCTTCAAACTCTTGGGGCTCACCTCGATAGTGCCTGTAACCTAACCCATTGTTTTTATTTACTCGGATCGTATAAGTCGATTATTATAGTTTGAACTACTCTAATTTTGGTACAATGATAAAAAAATATTCTAACATTTGATTAAATAATTACTTTGATTATTTTTTTAGTATTTTAATTCTACCATTTCATTTTGGGATAAAAAATTCTTATGTTGTTGAAATCATTTTTTCAACAAATGGTAAATGCTTTAAAATAAACTTTTCAAAATGCTTAAAAAAATAAACAATAGCCAAATGATTATTTAATCGAAGGTAGAAAAATTTTTACCCTAAAATAAAATTTGAAGACCTAAAATACTAAAAAAATAATTTAATTCTTTTAAGTTTCTTTTATCATAGCTCTTGACAAGGCACATCATGCATATTTGATCCGCACTATTTAAGCTATGAACATGTTTGATCAAGTTCCAATGTTGTCGGCAAACCAGTCAAAGATCACATGCGTTCTAAAAACAAGTCGTTCGCCGATTCGAACATAAAAAAAGGTGGTATAGGATAGTGTTGGGTTAGTGCATTTTGCATGATCAAGCATGGGAGAACTTTCATGCTCCATTTGCGTTGTGATATGAGATAAAAATAAACATGGATGTTCCATTTGTGTGGCAAAGCAAAGCAAAGCATGGGATTGGATGGTATTACTTCCACTGACATGAGCTACCTCATTTATAGTAACACCAAGGGAAAAGCTGGACATCCATTGGCCAACTAGTTTTACTTTTAGATGATGCATGTCATATGCTGAAGTATATGTTTAACCTAGAGTCGGTCGTAAAAATTTATATAAGATGATGCGAGTTGAAATTATAAAATTTCAGGAATAGGAAATTAGATAATTTATATAAAATATTAGGAAAATAATTAAAATATAAAAAAAAAATTAAAAATTTTAAGGGTTGCGATCACAAACCAAAACTCCCTCGTTACGTTTTATTTTTCTAAAAAATTGATCAGTCTGGATACATAATAGTTCGGGTCACTATCATGTTCAAATAATTTGTTATAGGCTAGGTGTTTCCAGATTCTTCAAATCCAAAATAAAGTCAGACCCTTGATGGTTACTTTGAGGTTCAACCAAGGATTTAGCACCGTCCATTCCTGGAGCTGCACATGGTGATTTTTGTTTTATATATAGACTTAGAATTAATAATCAAGTTGTGATAGTGTTTCTGGGTATTAAACAAATTGAATTAATGCGATTAAAGGAACTTGGTAACATGTTTCAATAACCCAACAAATTGAAAGAAAAATTGAACTTTTAAATTTAGCACCCAACACTTTCTGCATGAAGCTCATTTTAAAATGCACTTTCTGTGAGAATCATCTTCTGCTAACGTAACACAAAAAATCAAAATTCTTAAAATTAAGCTAAAATGAAAAAAAAAGAAAATAGAGTAAAAATATGAGAGAAAATAATATGAATTTTATTCAAAATGATTAAACATCTGTGATATGTATCGAAGACTCGTAAATGTATGAGTACAAGCACGAGCCAGGGTGGACGATGACAGTTATGCATATTTATTAGCCCATTTTGTTTAAATCTATGGGTTTTTAAGTGTTTAAATATAACATTTTAAGTTTGTATTTATTGAATGATTGAACTAAAATTAGTACACACATTTCGTCGTTTTTACTTGGCTCATGTAATTGTGTGTCTTTAATAGACATTACATGTAGTTTTTTTAGAAAATTTGTATAATTTTCTTTCATAACCTTTTTGTTCATATTTTTCTTTTTATTTTATTTCAATCTCACTTTAAATACTTCTTACTATTTTGTGCCATATAAGAGAAAAACACTTCTTGCAAGAAGCGATTTTTACTTACGTGGCAAAAAAGGATGCTAGATTAATAAATAATCTACAATGAGTGTTAAAACAATAATTAATTATTTTTATAATATTTGAGTAAAAATTAGCGATATCTGATTTATTAATCGCTTATTCTAGATCGAATTTTACAAAGACCCGTTATAGATATGACCCTCAAGTGATAAACTTAGAAATATGTTTTAGGTTGAACACACTTATGTTAATAGCACAATTTTTAATGGGATGAGGACAATAAATTTCAAGAGTGAACGCAATTAGTAAAAATATAATTAATTGAAGAAAATTCGACCTTCAAGGTGAGCACGTCCCCACCCTCGGATAGCTATGGATATGCCACTCAGACTTCTCAATTTAATTTGTTCAATCCACAAATACTAAGATTCATTCTATTAACCTTATTTAAAACATATAGTGTTTCATATGACTAAATTAACTGATTAATAGTAATTTATACATGAATTTTTATCCTAAATTCGTTTATAAATACTAACAAATGCAATTAATTAATGGTAAACAATTAACAAGTGTAGAATTATTTTATTTTCAGGTCGATGACTAGATTACCCGTTGAATGGCTTGAAATAACATAGCCATCCCTAAGATAAGATTCCTTTTGGTTTTAAGTAACTGTCACTTGTCAGAAAATCAACTCTGCTGAAACTTAAACGGTTAATTCTGGTACAGGCGGTGAAACTGAGGTGAACGTAAAAATAATAATAATGAACTACATCAATTATTTATCTTTATTTTTTTTATATTTTTGAAGTTATAAAATTTAAATTTATTAGAAGTATATCATTTTTGTAGGTTCTCATTCTCTTTTTTATTGGGTAAGATTAAGGTTAGAATTAAAATTTATCAAAAAGATTATTCTAAATTATAATTAAATTATTTATTTTACCTTTACGATTTGAGGAATGAGATGTTTACTTTTATTTTTTATTGTTTCAAATTTATTATTGAATAAAAAATAATGGAGTTTTCTTAAGAAATTAAATGAATTAATTCAGAAAGACTAAAATTTCATTAAACAAAATATTTTAAATGGTAAACGTTAAACATACAAATAATTTTAAAAAAAATTAAACGTTTACCTTGCTCAACAGTTTTGACAATTTCACCGAGAGTGCTACCAATAATCAAAGGAATATGATATATAATATTATTATAATGAATGAGATAAATAATACAAAGTTGAATGTTTAAACTGATATTAATGTTTCTAAACGCACGAATCAAGTGACTTCCGTAGTAAACGAATTATTGTTATTTTTTTAGGTCTCGAGTTTGAGTACCGGAAATACTAAGAGTGAGTATTCAATGTCAAATGGTTGAAAGTTATCTTTAAACAAATATTGCCTTTTAAATTACCCTAGATTAATAAAAAAAAAATTGTTTTTAAAGGTTGATTACATTAGATGATGATTTTTTAAATGATTAAATAAAAGGGAAATCTTTTTAAATTAGATCAAACAAAATGTTATAGCATGCACACGAGAGTTAAGTGCATAAATTAGATTTTTTCCTTTTCGGTTCCAAGATTTTGTCTAATCCGAATCGACCAGAGTCGTACCCCTGGTTTTGGTGAGTGAGTCTCCCAGCGAAATTATTCTACATACACAATAACTCGAACTCGAGACTTACTTAAGCGTTCATTGTCAAACGAATAATTGTTATCTCTAAAGGTTTTGAGTTTGAACAGTAACAATTACAGGATATTTAAGTGTTTATTATCAAATGATTTATAATCTTTAAAACAAATAGTACCACTTATAATCATGATTAATAAAAAAATTGCTCTCAAATCTCTAAAGAAAGAGAGGAATTAAAAAACAAAAAACCCTGAAATAGGTATATGGTTAAATACTTTGTATAGTGAGTGTAATGGCGACCAGCTGGAATGGGACGTATATGGAAAATCCGTGTCCACCCCACATACCTAATCAACACTCATGAAGGAGATTGCAATGCTTTCTCACCTTTTTCTTTTTCCTTTTAATTAATTAATTTTCCAATTTCCACCATATTTTCTTCTATAAATTCCCTTCTCGTTTCACTCAAAAACCTCTTCCAGTTTTCCTCTCTCCCCCCTTGTAGAAATCTAGCTTTTTTATTCTTTCTTCTTGGTTTTCCTTTCCCTTTGTAGAGATGAAGCTCTGGTTCATCACTGTTTTTCATTCTTAGATTTGGTCTCATGGTGTAAATCTTGATGTTTGAGATTCATGTCTCCAGTCGTGAGTGAAATACTCCGTTCGGAGTTTATGATAAATTCCTCCCTTAGACGCAGGACCCATCTTGTTCAATCTTTCTCAGTTGTTTTCCTCTACTGGTTCTATGTTTTCTCATAAATAATCTCTCTGAATCCTTCATATTACTACTATTATCACAAATAATAATCGAATAACTCTCTACAATTAGTATCTTATTATTGTTATTTTTTTCAAGATCTAAGCTGCGATTTTGGTGTAAAAAAAATATGGCTTCGTCTAGTGGAAACTCCAATTCCTCAGGTTTCATGGTGCCGTCGGGATCTGAAGAAGACTTGCATCAGTTGATGGATCAAAGGAAAAGAAAGAGAATGGAATCCAACAGAGAATCAGCAAGGAGGTCGAGGATGAGGAAACAAAAGCACTTAGATGATTTAACGGCCCAAGTTACGCAGTTAGCCGAAGATAATAACCAGATCCTCACAAGCATCGCCTTCACCACCCAACACTATCTGAACATCGAGGCTGAGAACTCGGTCCTGAGGGCTCAGATGATGGAGCTGAGTCAAAGACTCGGCTCACTCAACGAGATCCTCCGTTTTCTCAACAATGGGGCGTATGAAACAAGTGATGAAAGCTTCACCAACCCTTTTAATATCCATCATCTTAACCAACCCATCACGGCCTCTGCAGATTTGATGTTCGAATACTAAAATTTCATGGTGTTGGTTGTCTCGTATTCTCTTTCTTTAACTAGTAAAATGTTATTTAGTGTCGTCGGCACCAACGGGTAGGTGGTGTAAAAGAATTGGCAGCCAAGGGATTTTAAACATGGGGTTTCGAATTTAAAATATGACACAGGTGTTATGCATGCATGTGGCCTTCTTTATTATGTAGTATTAATTAATTTACTTCATTGGTTTGTTGTCTTCTTCTTCCTTGAAACAATCATTCATTATGACGCCTTTTGTTCTTTTGGGTGAAGAAATAGTGGCACAGAAAAGGCACCATTGTTGCTTGTTCATCAAATCCATTTTATTCAAACTTGAACTTTTTATTTTATTTTATACCGTCAATTTTGATTTCATTTTGAAATTTAATTTTATTAATTCGATTTGATTTGATTATAAAAAATAATAATTTAAATCTGTTCAATTTATTTGAAATAATAAATTTAAATGTAAAATGATTTAAATAAATAATATAAAATAGATATTATTGATGTACAAGTGAGGTGGTGCTTCAGACGACGAGCAAATGAGATATTTTGTGGATGATTAATGATGTATTCCATTTAGTTTAACTACAAGTCACAGAACAATTGATATCCATGAGAAGATGAGAAATCGGATCTGAAGGGGTCAGAGAGAGAGAGAGAGGGAGGAGACTGAAGAGTCCCCTTTGTCTTAGAAATTTATATTATATATACTTGGGTAAACTACGCATTTAATACCTAAACTATCAGTTTTAGTATTAAAACTTTTAATTTTTAAAAATATCTAATGTTTAGTTTCTGTTAAAAATCTAAAAGAACTTTTGCACGTGACATTTTTCATGAGTAAATTACATCATTAATCCTTTAATTATCTTCTCCCTCCTATTTGGTCATTAGAATTTAAAAAATTTCAATTTAAATTCTCAACTTTCAAATTGCTCATGTCTTAATCACTCTAATTTATTTTATTATATTTTTTGTGACATGATATTTTTTATTATTTCATTAATATATAATTAAATAAAAATTAAATTTGAAAGTTAGAGTGATTAAATTAGGAGTAATGTGAAAGTTAGTAATTAAATTAAAAAAAGTAAACTTCAATGACCAAAATAGGAGTGAAAAGATAGTTAAGGGGTGAATGATGTAATTTACCCATAAAAGTGTCAAGTTGTAACAATATATTTCCGTATTTAACATATACTAAAATAAAACAAAAACCAAACATTAAATATGATTTTTAAAAATTAAAAATTTATGTGCTAAAACGAACCAAAAACGATTGTTTAGATACTAAACTCGTAGTTTACTATGTATACTTTGAATGTCCAACACATACCTACTGACATATGTCAGTTTATTTTAATTATAATAGTTAATTACACCACGCATTTCCAAGCTATTATTTTATTCTAAATTAATATTTAAATTTTGAACATTTCAATTCATACTCAACTATAACTCTCATTTTAAATTAATTTCTAAATTTTGAACATTTTAATTTAATCTTTAAACTATGACATCATTCTAAATTAAACCCCAAACTTTTAAACACTCTAATTTTCCCCAAACCATTTATATAGATATATTTATTGCGTCCCTTATTAATAAATTCGTTAAAAGAATTTAACTTTCATTCTAAACACTAATTGCTATTATGTATATTATGATGTGATAAAAATGAAAATTAATGTTATATTATGTCTCACGAAATCATTAGTTAGAATGTGTGAGAAAGCAGCCATGAAATCAACAAATGTGGAAGGAGGAAATTTAAAGAGAGTAATATGACATAAATTTTCTATTGAATATGAATGATACTCTTCATCAACCTCATACAAAGGTATGACTTATATAGTCTAAGTAAGCAACACACCATAACAAGCTAATAACAAACCATAACAACTAATAACAAGCTGATAACAAACCATAACAAACTGATAACAAACTAATAACAAATACTAACTAATCTTATTAACATTCTAATATTCTAATATTCTCCCGACTTCTTCAACCTTCTTGATGAAAAGACGAACACTCGAAACGAAAGTGTGATACATCTTTCCGTTCGACTTGAATCGGAAGTGGCGATGCTTCCTTCCGTTTGATTTGAATCGAAAGTGTCGATGCTTCCTTCCGTTCGATTTGAATCTGAAGTGCTGATGCCTCCTTCTGTTCGACTTGAATCGAAAGTGTCGATGCCTCCTTCCTTTCGACTTGAATTGGAAGTGCCGATGCCTTATTCCGTTCGACTTGAATCGGAAGTGTCGATGCCTTATTCCGTTCTACTTGAATCGGAAGTGTCGATGCCTTCTTTCTTTCGACTTGAATCGGAAGTGTCGATCCCTCCTTTCGTTCGACTTGAATCGGAAGTGTCGATGCCTTCTTCCATTCGACTTGAATCGAAAGTGCCAATGCCTCCTTCCGTTCGACTTGAATCGGAAGTGTCGATGCCTCCTTCCGTTCGACTTGAATCGGAAGTGCTGATGCTTCCTTCCGTTCGACTTGAATCGAAAGTGCCGATGCTAACTTTACCATCAGAGACTGCATGACCTGAAACAAGGTTTTCTCATTATTTTTAGCATCTTCAATGACCTCTTCATGTAGATCAATTCTGCATGTTTGACTAGACCCACTAACAACAGGATTGACGGTATCATCCTCAATATCGCCTATATCACTGATGGGGTCCTGCTGGGATTTCAGTTCTATAGAACCTTTTTCTAGTTTCTCAGAACCAGTAGAGTGGTCATTGATTTCAGAATGAAGACCAGCTCTGAGTGCTTCTGCCATTTGTTCTTGAGAAGATGATGGAACAAGAAGAGCCCCAACATTTTTTCCCTATCAAGATTCTATTGAATAAGTTGTTTCTGCATGAAACCGCATTCAGATCTAAAGGCCCATATAACTTTAAAATATCATTATAGCTGCCAATGCTACTAGTATTCTCCAGAAGTGAGGTAAACTTATCAGTTGTGTCTGGTGAAGCATGAGGAGTCCTCACAATCCCATCTTCAACGTCTACGGATTGGTCTTTAGATCCAGACCCCTTAATTTCAAGATTCACATAAGGCAGAAGATTATCAATCCCTAAAGCACTCAAGCTGACACTAGATTCAGCTTTCCCAATTTCAGAACATTTTCTGTGTTCCCCAACAAAATTAATTCATTGGTTTCAACATCAGCATGCTCATTATTGTTGTTCTCATGGATTTTTGAAGTACTCGCTGCACTTGATGCCTCAATAGAACCAACATCGGTAGCAGCACCTGTAAGAACAACGTCTCTGAGAACTTCATTTGCTTCCAACAATGGATCTGCAGGAGAGCATGTTGTGTTCACCAACAATAACTTCTGCTGCTTTAATTGATTGCCTTCTTCCTCATCCAAAGCTCTATTTGGAGGCACGCGGGATTCGGTCTCCGTGAGGAGAACTAGCAGCCACCGTTTGTTTAGACATGTAAGGCAAAATCTCAAACAGAACAATCTCTACAGCTGCATCCACATCCTTAGAGTTCTCAATAGCAATAGCTTTTAGAATACGCGAATCAACCTCTCTTTTCAAGCGAGAAAGGAGAACGATCGGAGAAAAATAAGAGGGAGGTGAGAGTTTTGGAGAAGGAAGAAAGTGAGAGTAAAGGAACTCAATCGTCGGTGCAACGGCGAAAGAGAAAATGACGTCAGGATCTTTGGCGAATGATACCATGTGAGAAAGCAGCCTGAAATCAACAAATGTGGAAGGAGGAAATTTAAAGAGAGTAATATGACATAAATTTTCTATTGAATATTGAATGAAACTCTTTATCAACCTCATACAAAGGTATGACTATAGTCTAAGTAAGCAACACACCATAACTAATAAGCAACAACCATAACAAACTAATAACAAGCTGATAACAAACCATAACAAACTGATAACAAACTAATAACAAATACTAACTAATCTTTATTAACATTCTAATATTCTAATAGAATGAATTCGAAAGATTTTTTGTTTTTTTATTCTTTCAATTTGTTTATAATTATTTTTACGTTTTCAAAGTTAAATTATTATTTTAATTAGATATCATTTATACCGTATCATATAACCACATAATGTTGATCAATGTTTTACATCACAATTAACAACTTTTATGACAGTTTAGTTTTATTAGCAAAGGGCATGATTAATATATAAGGATAGTTGGGATGAAATAAAAATATTTAAAAGCCTGGAGATCCATTTGAAATGTCAATTATAATTTGGGGATGAAATAAAATATTTAAAAGTTTAAAAATTAATTCAAAATAAATATCATAATTTAAGGACATATGATATAATTAACTCTAATTATAATTTATTATTGCTATAAACAAAGTTTAAGCAATGCTAAGGATGGACATAGGTTGAGTTCGGGTCGGATTGATACCCTCCAGTCGAAATCCAACTCGAACATGCATCATCAAATCATACAATATGGTTCGTCATCGTCAGTGAACATGCATGGTAAAATCAACCATCATCTACCTCTTTCCCGTCAGCAAAACACTGGGAAGTTCTGCCATACGACAGCCTAATACACGCTAAGAAAGACGCTATCAGAATTGTTATTTTTTTAACATTTTCGGTAAAAATACCTAAAATATTATTATTTTTAACTAAACATTAATGTTTTCACAAGGAATATTAGGCATCCATTTTGGTAAAAAAATAAAAAATCGAACACTTATTTTGATATTAAGCATTAATAAATAGTCAACAAGAGACTTAATAGAAATGCTTTTCAATTATTCATTGAGATATGATTTTTAAAAGTTTGAATTCGATTGGAACACTTACAAAACCCTTTATGCTTGTTTTTCTTTTATTTTCTTGTTGAACGGAACTTATTCTGAAACTTTCCATCCTCTTTTCTTTCCACCAAGCATTATACTTGGAAAATGAATTATTATTTTATTTGAAGATCCTACTTTGACTCATAAATGAAGCAATACTTGAAACCTAAAGCTAGAAGCAGAAATTTGATGTTACCTTATTGTGCGTTAAAATGCTAATAATCCACCATGAAGGCATGCAAGCAAAACTGGTAAAACTTTAGAACGGTATATACCTAAAGTCTCAATATGATCCGAAACCCCAAGAAATCAAAATTCAAAACCCAACATAAGCATGAAAACGATGGAAATGGTGTCGTTTTTCTTGCTTTTTTGTTCAATGGAAGAGGCAGTAGTTTTG